TGTAAAGCGCTGTAGAAAATGTTGGCGCTATGTAAATGCTATGTAATCTACCAACCAGTATTCAGTCTAACTTAGATTCAACATCTTATATTTGCACCACTATTATCACTCTTACCATTGATTCAGTGCTGTAAAATACAAGTGCCTTAAAACATTAAGATTTGAAGCACATTGCCTCTGATGAATACCTTCATTGACAATAAACATGCATATACAGCAGCATCTCACTGAAATCATGTATGAAGCTTCCTTCAGAGATGGGAGTCTATTGAAATAACATCACATATCTAACTTTGCAAACTGTTGAACATGAACTCACCAAGGAGCAGATTCTACTGGACAAATAAAATGATCGCACTGTGCACATGCTGTGAGTTTTTTTTATCTGCCATATGTAATGCTTCCAAAAGTAACAATTTATTTTTCATGTCCAAGTAATTGTTCCTTATTTCGCTAGTGTCCATATTTTCCATTTCACAGCTTTTTTTGTGTGAATCATTTATGGCATCTGCACACGTCTCTTTTTCTTGGGTACATTAACAAAGCTTGGATTAGCGTGATGGGATTTGTAGGCCAACAAAGCTAAAGTAATAGAGACTATTTTTCTCTGCTTGTGTGTCTTAAATGTCCATGCTAGTTACAGCTTACATTTGTCTGTCCCATAGATTAGTCTTCTTGGCTCGCCAGATTTTATTTTTCTGCATAATTCAAAATGAGATGTTGAAACATTGCATAAAATAGATAAAATCACTTCTTATCACAGTTACATTCACGAGTTTGTGAAATAGGAATATGCACCCTTGGCAGAGGGAATCAGAATACCAAGTGTGTTTCTGAGAACCCTTCAGCCTACTCTTGCATGTAAATTAGTCTTTAATCAAAAATAATGTCACATTAAATATGTCAGGCTTTAGCCATTATTATTTACTTTAATGCATTCACCGGTCTAGTTTTTAACATGAACGGCCGCACTAAATACAAAACACATTAACCTTCTTTCCGGTTCATCTTTTTATTCCTAGTCACTCCTTTGTACATCGCTGACCCATTTCAACACCAATGTTGAACTAAATTGTAGAAAATTGCAGTAATACTTCATGATTATCCTAATTTTCCAAGATGCAACCTTATTTTTTTTTTAAAGTGAAGGAATAGAAAGCATTAAAAAAAAAATATTTACCACTCTTTCAATGCCCTGCACCCATCAATCATGGCTAAAATCAATTGCTGTGCTGAGGTGAATGTTCAGAATTCGTTTAACAATACAGAGGAAAACAATAGACCGCGGCAGTTCCTTTCAACATCTTGCCCTGCTTCCAATTCAAACAAAAGGGCATCTTTATATGTGCAAACAACTCCTTCCACTCATTGACAATCTGACCCAGAAAACATGTATGGACAGTTCAAACTCATCTAACCATAAAGAATAATTGTGTATGACAATAATGTGGAACACAAATTAGAGATCAGGACTGAAAGCAATTTAAAAATACATTACAGAAAAAAAAACAAAAAACTATTTTTATTTTCCAAGAATAGTTTTATTACTGTAGATTTTTATTTAATTTACAGAAAGGATACCAAACAAGTCTAAAGGTATTGCAACGTGAGGGTTTAATAGTGTTGTAGTTCAGCATCATGAAAGCATCATTTATAATAGCCTTGATATTTGCTTGAATGAAGATATCATTGTATTTATTGATTCTGTAAATTAAAGGGATACTCTAAGCTCCAAAACAACTTTAGATCAATTACGTGGTTTTGGTCTATATATCATGCCTTTTCTTTATTAAATCACTTTGTTTATGCAGCCATAGCCCGACCTCCCTTTGCTGTTACTTACACAGTCTCCCTACTCACTTCCTGCAAAGAGCTAATTTTAAAAAACGTATTTTGTTTTACAGTATGTTTCAACTAGAATGCATTTTATCCCGCTTTGTTAATTGTCTGTTAGTCTATAGCAGCCTCCTGTGTGTTAAAAAGTTCAATTACTAAAGCATGCGATAAGAACTTCTAAAGTAAACACGTTGTGCTGTAAATATGAAACTTTTTCATGGAGGCTGTGTGTTCTAAATTTGTGTTGTTGCTTGTAGTGTCTCTTTAAGCTAATTGTGGGCATATAACTTTCAGTAAAATGCTAAACCTTTGACACCCATAAAACATGTCTGTGCAGTCTACATACAGGGTAACTAACACATGGAATGAAAACATGTACAGCTGCAGAACTGGATGTAACAAAGAAATAACATGCATATACAATACCAATACATATTAGCGTTTACAAGGAAAATGGGAATAAATGGGTTTTCAGACTTCTGAAAACTGTGGTGACATGACACCGATTATGCCGTTCACTAACTTTGTCACCTGGTGTCATGAGGACTGGATGAAAGTGCACCATGAGTGTGATTATCTGCTCCTGCTTTGCCCCGTTGAGTTAATTTCAGTGTATTTAAGCCCATATACAAGAGCTTTAGCAATGCTTGATTTATAGGCATCCCTGATTGCTGTCCATCCGAACAGCCTGTCATTCTGATGTGCTTTTGCATGACAAGGTGATGTTTCCCATTGTGAGTTGACATTTTGTCAGTCATTCTAATTGTATCATGGTCTTGGCCACTCACCAGTTTACCCTGCTCAAAATACCGAAAGAAGAACTTTCACGAATATTGCAGTCAGGGCCAGCCTTAGGCCATTAGGCGCCCTGTGCGAAAAGCCTTCACGGTGCTCCTCCCCACCCCCACCAAGTTCCCTGTATACAGTCACACACAGGAAGACAGTCAAACAAACAGTTACAAGCAGACAGTCAGACACGCTCAGTTACAGGCAGACAGTCGCACACACACACACACACACAGTTACAGGCAGACAGTCACACATGCTCAGTTACAGGCAGACAGTCACAGAGCCAAACACACAGTTAAAGGCAGACAGTCACACAGTTACAGGCACACAGTCAAACACACAGTCAAACACACAGTTATAGGCAGATAGTCACACACACAGTCACAAACAGACAGTCACACATACTCCATTACAAGCAGACAGTCATACACACTCGGTTACAGGCATGCAGACACTCGGTTAAAGGCAGTTAGTCACACATACAGGCACACACAATGGTACAGCTACATCGACACACACAGGCAGTCACGCAGTCAGACAGACAGCCACACACAGGCAGGCCGTCACACACACACACAGACTTGCCTCTTTCCATTATGTCTGGAAAGGGGGAGTGGATGAAGTTGGTTGTAGGGGAAGCAGGGACTCATTCATTCTTCCCTCTTCCTGTGCAGCAATTACCAGGGGCTTTGGGTAGGTATTAGCCCTGCCTCGTGATAGGCCCCACCCCTGTTGCTCAGTAAGCCCCATCCCCGCTGATCCCCGCTGCCTACATTTTTTTTTTTTTTTTGCTTCCCTGCACTCCTGTCACCTGGCCATGTGCAAGCTGTGTCGACCACATGGCGCCCCCTGCTCAATGGCACCCTGTGCGGCCGCACAGTACGCACACCCCTATGGCCGGCCCTGATTGCAGTCAGTTTTATCTTTTCTAATTTTTTGCACCTTTGTCACTCCTCGCAGATTTGTCAATCCTTTTACTGACTTCTTGTATCATTCACATTATATAAAATTGCCCTTACCTACAAAGCATTGATTCATGTAATTACCCCTTTTGCATCTCCTGCTTTGGCAGTAGTCTATTCTCAGAGCCTGCTAGTCTCCAGTCATTTAAAGGACCAGTAAGTAAAATATTTATGAATGGGAAGCAAGTGCAGTGGCACCTCTGCCTGATGCTGCCAGAGCCTTCCATTATCTAAAATTTCAGACAGCAGAAGGGCAGGGGGGCAGTGTGATTGGTGCTGAAACACAGACTTTGGGGTTGAACCTATCATTAACAGTTTAACCCTTAAAGCTAGTTACAGAGATCTCCTGACATCGTAACAACTTAAGTTTGAATTAGTTGTTATGATGCCTGGACTTTTCCGTTAACATGCCATTAGTCCCAGATCTGGCAGTATGGTCCACTGTCCTTGGATTTCTTTCTAGTATATCCATGCAATTAAAATAATTAAAACTGTACATGCTTATGTTCTCGACTTCAACTATTGATCTACAAAAGTGCATAAATAAAATTGCTTCACGATTGAAGCAATCTCATTTATTTTATGTATTTATAAATTATTTTACCTGGAAGGATTTATCTCGTTTTCAAGTATGTCCTCGGCATAACATATGGATGTAAATAATTTAATAGAAGCTTGGTAAAATATTAGTAATCCTAATTTCTGTTGCATCATATTGGTCTTCTGCTTTTTAAAGTTCCCTTCTACTACTTTACTACTTTAAACTCAAACTCCCAGCTTTAAACCCATGTCTATATGAATCATAGATATATATGTAATTAAATATGAAACCCATTGTGTTACAATTAGTTTGTTTTTTTTCCAACATAATTCATATCACAGAACAGTCCAAGGTTGACTTGACATTCTAATGATGGACTTGGCTCGGAATTACAACAGTCCATGATCAGCTTGTAATTCTAACAGTCTGAGCTTGGCTTGGAGTTCTGAGCTTTACTTTATTATATATCTTGTATGGAATTCTTTACACAATCCCAATCACCTGTATATGCCATCTCATAAAATGAAACCCTTTCTTCCGCAAAGCAAGCAATTTGACATTATTATTATCATTATTGGCATTTTAATAGCGCTAGCTTATTCGGTAGCACTTTGCAGTATTATAAAATGTGAAATTTAACAAGACCTAAATCAGTGGTTTAATTTCAAAGTGTGGATTTTATAGTGCATTTAGTCTACCAATGGTATATTATATGCAATATTTACTAAAGGCCAACTTTTGCTTTAGAAAATCGGTCTGGACATATTGGAGTCTCAAATTCAGATGGCATTTGCAATGAGCAAACCAGACTTAAAATTAAAGTGTTTCTAACATGACAGGTTCATCTTAAGCTGTATCAACTCCTAAGGCAGTAAAGGTATAATTTGTTATAAACATACATTATATATTTCTTTACTTTAGAAACTGTTATCATTCAGCTTACCTACTATCCATCATTTCAGCGCTGCTATTCTCGAAAGTCCCTGGGTGTTATATTGCTGTAACACTTATTATCTGGTCCTGCATTTTATTTGTATGAGTGTCATTGTGTGTATCTGTGTGTCTGTGTATCTGTATGATTGTTATTGTGTGTGTGTCTGTGTATCAGCATGTGTGTCACTGTGCGTATTTGTGTGTGTGTGCGCACCATGTGCATCAGAGTGTGTTTGTGTTTCTGCATGTGTCTGTCTGTCTGTGTATTTGTATGCATGTCTGTGTATCTGCGTGTCTGTACTTGTGTATCTGTATGTGTGTCAGTGTGTGAAAATGTGCATTTGCGTCTTTTTTTAGGATGTGTGTCAGTGTGTATGTGTATCACTGTGTGTATGTGGCAGTGTATATGTGCATACATCTCAGCATTCTAACTTAAACACTACATACAAATGCACCCCTGCATTCAAACGTCAACACTACATACAGACACACCCCTACATTCGAAGGCAAACAGTACACAGAAGTAAACCACTGCTTTAAAATGGCAACAGTACATAAATACACCACACAACACTACACACAAATACTCCCCTACATTCACACACACATACTCGATACAAAAACATGCTTACATTCAACCATATAAACACTGCTCAGTGCTAAATACAACTGACCATTTGTGAAGGATGGACAACTGGTAGATCCCCAGCTGGCAAAGTATTGTATGAGTTGTACGACAGATGAGGATCAGCATTTTATTTCTATCCTTGCAATAGGGAGCCCCCCAAAAAAACCTTACACCAGAGCCCTTTCTACTTTAGTTCCCCCATTGTAAAATCTCTACATTTGCTCAAATTTCTCCATGACATATTTTAAGCAGCAAATCATGTTTGAAATGGATGTACTGTTCAAAAACTGGCGTACCATGGAGCTGTTCAAGGGAACTGTAGACACCATAACCACTATGGGGAATCGTTGTGGTTATGGAGCCTAATGTGCTCCTTTAAGAAATCTTAACTGACCACATCATAAGGCCTTTGAGTACAGCTGGATGTGTTCTGCCTCTTTTGCAAATATTTATTACTATTTAGGTTTGACAGAAATTGAAACATTGACTGTGCACCTTCTGAAATAAAAAGCATTTTCTCTCCATCTTATGACACGGTGGCATGCATCCAGGCTGGTGGACTATAAACGCTGCTTTACTGAAAGAGCTTCCCTGGTGCCGATTTAAGTCCTCTATCTGGGGTGGAAACAGTCTGTCACGCTGCGTTTGGAATTCTTTTTCCTTTGGCTCCAGACAGGTTTTCGTGCACTTGATTGGGTTTAAGTGAAACATCTCAGACTGCCCTGCAGCAGTTTTATCAGACACCTAGATAATGCAGGGCTTGGCAAGGCCTGTTACCTGCGTGGCACAGAGAGTTAACCTCTTACCTGCTACAGTAAGGTTAAACAAGCCATGATTTGTGAAGGACAAGTTGACAACCAAGCAAGAACATGTAGGTGAAAGACAGTCTAGCTCTGCCGTTTGGTTAGAAGTCCATAACGACTCGCAGTTAACATTGTAAATATTGCATTCTTGTACTTGGGAAGTGGGCTTGATAACCACGTATCTGGAGCTGAACTTTAAAACAATCATGTTTCCTCTGTCACAAACACCATGCAGATTCTGCCCGGTTTACCACTTGTCACTCCTTCCATTGTAATCAATACCTCTGACTTTAGTCTCGCTTACAGATTTCTGGAGGTAAATGCCAGAACGTGAACCTGTTTACTCTATCGATTGGGTAGCTGCTCCTTAGAATACAAGCTCAAATTCTGTGCTATGCGGATCATTGTGCTGTCCCCTTGGAGAAATTAGATCAGTGATCTGTATCGCTGTGCCTCACAGGCAGGTGAAAACTGTCACTGGAAGCAGCTGTTTGCAGGTTTTAAATGCTACATATCCCTGTCTGGAAATAGCCTTGTTGAGTTTAGGAGATTGAGTAAGAGAATTAAGCACAGCTGATCACACAGGTAATCATAGCAACACCTACTGTAAATGCAGTGCTGGGTTTTACGTGTGAACTCAAACATTCTGCTACCTCATTTTCTTTCATTATAATTGCCTCGTTATCCCAGTAGAACATGGAAAATATTCTAGATTATTGTCAGAGATTGCACCATACATTTAGACAAGTCAAAGTACTAATGTGTTAACCATCATTAACCTCTAAAACAGCATTTTGGCAACATGTTTCTATGTACTTTATTTTCGTCATTATATTTGTATTATTTTCAAGGGCAGGACTCAGGGTTATATATGATTTACATATTAATATTTCAGAGCAGTGTACAAACTGCGAGTTCTTTTTTAAATTTTCTTTTATATTATCTTCATGTCTGGGTCATTTAAAAAATGTATTTCTTGTTTCAATGCATTTTGAATTAAAGTCACGGAATTGGCAAATTTGACTAATTTGCATATTATAGAATAGGATTATGGTTAAAAACTTGATGCCGTGATACTATGCTAGAAAAACATATTTATGATCTATTGTCAACATCTATATAGATGTAGAGAGCTTCCGTCTTTCTATACAAAGACAAAGGCACTATGGAAGGACGGTTTACAGTAGTTTGGATCTGATTATGTTTGTTGACTTTCTTAAATTTCGCCCACTTTCCACCAGTCTAATCTTTATTATCCCAGAATCCTTTTCTATCCACTCTTTCCTTCTGTCCTTTCACCCTGTTGCTTTTCTTTAGTGTCAGGTTTTGTCTTTATGTCTATTTCCTCACCCAATCCCTTTCTGTCTCATCTTCCAATGTTTCTTCCTTTACTGTGTTGATTCCCTTTATGTATTTAAATGTTTCTATCATATCCCCCCGGTCTCGTCTTTCCTCCAAGCTATACATGTTAAAATCCTTTAATCTTTCCCTGTAAGTTTTTAAAGAAAAAAATGTTGAGATGATGTTTTGTATTGTTTGGCACCGGGTGCAGGGTCTTTAATTTATGTGTGTGCCAGTTCTACTTTCCATAGATTCCCGATAATGGCTCAAAATCCTCCTAGGTAAAGTCTCTCTATGTTCAGGCACACCATCCTCTCTAAACTTTGTATGACATGGGTTTTTAAATGCCACTGTGCCGCATTCAGGGCTGCTGTCCAACGGTTGTATAAGATTTTATATGATTTGCAACTTGAGGCAATTTTATGAAATTTAAGATCTGAATGTGTTATGAGAAATCTGTGGCATTTGTAATTGCTTTTCTTTCCCACTCACTTATGTAAATTAGCTTTTACGACTGTTTAGACATGTGCTGTAATGTAATTTCTGTACATGGCAACTTGAGACTATGCAGTTCTTGTGCTGCCTACAAAACACGATATTTATATCAGTTGATGTGTGATGGCAAACTATGTCTTTTCATTGAACAGAAAAAAAAAAGTGTGAAAGCGCACAAACAGTGGAATATTTTACCTTTAAAATCTTGTATAGGTCCTATTTTCAGCAACCGACAGTAACTGTGGACCCTATATATAATATATACAAGAAAACAACATAGTATATACTGTTGAAACCGATTTACAATATGTGGAGAATAAAAAAGGTTCACTCACACTTTCCAGAGCCACATAAATATTATTATGTATACTGGTATTTCATCCACCAAGGGATACACTGGATCTGATCCTCCTCTTAGATGTTTGTAATAAGTTTTTCTTAGCAGGAACTCAGGAACCAGGTAAGGTGAAGTGTTAAAATAAACATTTATTTGGTATAAAATAATAAAAGCAGAAATGGCTGACACAGCAGCTAGCACAACGCGTTTCGACCATCCAGGGTCTTTTTCAAGTGCAGTATATCCTCCCATTTGTTGACCCACCTATATATGTCTCCAATTTACCATATTGGAGACAGGTGTAGCAGCAGGAAATGGTAATTGAATGTCCATATTTGGTCATTGCAGGAAGCATCTCACCACCACTAAGATGGTGGTGCTTCCTGTTTTGACTTACATAAATAAAGAGAGGGAAAAAAAATGCTTCCTGTTTTTACATATATAAAGAGAGAGAAAAAAATTGCTTCCTGTTTTTACATATATAAATAGAGAAAATAATCGCTTCCTGTTTTTACATATATAAATAAAGATAAAAAAATTCTTCCTGTTTTTATATATATAAATAAAGAAGAGAAAAAAAAATATTCCTGTTTTGACATATATAAATAAAGAGAAAAAAAAATGTGTCTACGCATTGGAGAGGAGGGGATTTTAACCAAAAATTAAAGGACCACTATAGTGCCAGGAAAACATACTCGTTTTCTTGGCACTATAGTGCCCTGAGGGTGCCCCCACCCTCAGGGTCCCCCTCCCGCCCGGCTCTGGAAAGGGGAAAGGGGTTAAAACTTACCTTTTTCCAGCGCTGGGCGGAGAGCTCTCTGCCTCCTCTCCTCCTCCATTCGCCCCGCCGGCTGAATGCGCACGCGGCAAGAGCTGCGCGCGCATTCAGCCGGTCTCATAGGAAAGCATTTACAGCCACCTGGGCGTGCTCTCTGTGAAATCAGGAGAAGCAAGCGCCTCTAGGCTGTCAATGAGACAGCCACTAGAGGCTTTGGGGGAAGGCTTAACCCATTAATAAACATAGCAGTTTCTCTGAAACTGCTATGTTTATTAAAAAATGGGTTAACCCTAGAAGGACCTGGCACCCAGACCACTTCATTAAGCTGAAGTGGTCTGGGTGCCTAGAGTGGTCCTTTAAATTTACAAGAAACCAAATGGATCTTTGAAATGTGCACTTTAAAACCTAGAGGGCTCAACATTGATTTTGAAATTAACTGTATTTTATGATTTTTTATGTATTTATATTTTTATGTATTTGTTATTTACTTCATACATTTGGGCGGAGGATATAGTTTTTATTAAAATAGGTATCTGCTAATACATTGTATTTTTAATGAAATTATTTTTACTATATTCTTTCTCTCTTTTATGGTTAAATTAACATATACTGTGGACTATCTGGCATCTAATTGGAGATTAATTGGATCTGGACGATATACATATTGCCAGATATATATTACATAAAAGACTTCCGTTCTTTGACCTAATATTTATGGAGAGGTGGAGTCCGAAGAAAGAAGGTGCCAACTACTCAGGAAAAACATGACGAAAATACGCCGACCGGAAGTAGGTGCATGGCTATTTTGCAAAATACGTTGACCGGAAGTAGACGCACAGTCATTTTGGAACCCCGGAAGACGCTCACCGGAAGTAAAGTCACCGCCATCTTGGAATCCCACATATTAAAATGAACATGTGTTTTCTTTCTCCCCCCCCCCTTCCCTTTTTTTTTCCTTTTTTTTCCTTTCTCTCTTTATTTATATATGTAAAAACAGGAAGCTTTTTTTTTCTCTCTTTTTATTTATATATGTAAAAACAGGAAGCATTTTTTTTTCTCTCTCTTTATTTATATATATATATATAAACAGGAAGCATTTATTTTTCTCTTTATATATGTCAAAACAGGAATCTTTTTTTTTTCCCTCTTTTTATTTATATATGTAAAAACAGGAAGCAATTTTTTTTTCTCTCTTTATATATGTAAAAACAGGAAGCATTTTTTTTCCCTCTCTTTATTTATGTAAGTCAAAACAGGAAGCACCACCATCTTAGTGGTGGTGAGATGCTTCCTGCAATGACCAAATATGGACATTCAATTACCATTTCCTGCTGCTACACCTGTCTCCAATATGGTAAATTGGAGACATATATAGGTGGGTCAACAAATGGGAGGATATACTGCACTTGAAAAAGACCCTGGATGGTCGAAACGCGTTGTGCTAGCTGCTGTGTCAGCCATTTCTGCTTTTATTATTTTATACCAAATAAATGTTTATTTTAACACTTCACCTTACCTGGTTCCTGAGTTCCTGCTAAGAAAAACTTATTACAAACATCTAAGAGGAGGATCAGATCCAGTGTATCCCTTGGTGGATGAAATACCTTTACAGTCCAGAGCCTAACTTATGTGGCTCTGGAAAATGTGAGTGAACCTTTTTTATTCTCCACATATTGTAAATCGGTTTCAACAGTATACACTATGTTGTTTTCTTGTATATATTATATATAGGGTCCACAGTTACTGTCGGTTGCTGAAAATAGGACCTATACAAGATTTTAAAGGTAAAATATTCCACTGTTTGTGCGCTTTCACCTTTTTTTTTTTTCTGTTCACTATATCTTTCATTTGGTGTAACAAGTGACTGTACACCGAGGTGTTTTTAAGCTGCACCAGTTGTAGTATTTTGTGTATAGCGCCCTTTTCCCTTCTATTTTGCATTTCTTGTATGTATTTTCATTAACTATTTGATTACAAAATCTAATTCATTTCAATCAGTCTGCATTCCAGTAGAATTGGCAAATAATCAAATCTATAAATACTAATGATTGCTTTTATGTCACTTTCACCTGGATGGATACAGACTCACAGTAGCTGATATAAAGCGGTACTGTATTAGACTATTACT